TGCTAACGTATTAAAGTATGTTAACATTAGTTATGGCCTTGCAGCGTTTACAGTACTGTTGTGGGCCGTTAATGTAAATGAAATTGTTACAGGTTTGATTATTATTATTATTATTATTATTAATATTTTTACAGGTAATGCGATAACTTAAACTCGTGACCAAAGAGAACTTTAGATTTCTGAGAAACGGAAAAAATCCGTTAGAACTCATGTGTGATAAGCAGGTGTGCACTAGTTTTCTGTCAAAACCATACTAAATTTAGTCAGTATCCTTCTATTAACCTATTAATGTAATTAGTTTTGCCTTTTAGGCTGTTGACAGGATAAGACAGTCAGAACCTGTCGAACCGTTGTCCAAGTAAAAGGTGAACACCTATATGACAAAGAAGTTAAAAGTGAAACTGCTGTGATTTTGATCTAACTAATCAGAAAACACAAGTCTGCTTGGCTGACTGACATTGATAATTTGTAAGTTTGTATTTGAGGTGGAATACATTTGGTCTAAAGTTGGCAACTGCTACTAGAGTTGTGTTGCACAGTGTAGACGTGAGTATCAAATTTCTAAACTATGACAAAGATTGATCACATTCCTTTTGTCTACATGTACTTGTTGCAAGTAAACTTACTGTGATCACAAAGGTTAAACCAACATCATACCCTTTGCTTTGCAGTTGTGCAATAGTACAGTCAACTGTGTGCTTGTCAAAATGTACATAATGATCATAAAGATTCATTCTTGCAGTCACCATGACTTCAGTTCAAGGTGATTTAAGAAATAGTTGCTGCTTGGAAATCTCAAGTCTATTGTCTACTGTTTGACATCATGAGTGACTGCGAAATGCCTCTTTGACACTTGTGTCTCAATGACCACATGTAATTCTAATGGGTCACTAAAGGAAGGAAATAAAAAAAACAACATATTCTGTTGATAAGCAACAAACATTGTAGTCAGTGAGATTTCAGTTAAATATGTATCAGAAAATCACTTATGAGTCATTTTAAAGGAATTTGTCACTTGGCAAATCATGCCTGACTAATATCATATTATTTGGCATTGGCTCTTACTCAGCATAATGTCCTGTATAATTTTATCTTTAACAATGTGGGTTTTTTTTGTTTGTTTTTTGTTTTTTTTGGTTAAAGATGGATGTTGATTTGTGTGCTGGCGGGGACGGTACTAAGAGAACGGTAGAACTTGCCGGGGTTGCAGAAGGCACAATGGACGTTGTACCTTTGGAGATGTATGACTCCGCCAGAGCAAAAATAGCAGCCAACCTACGGTGGCTGTTTGCCAAAGCCTATGGTATTGGTAAGTAATTTTACTTGCATTCATGCTACACAAATGTCATGTCTCACAGTTACTTCAGATGTTGTTGTTGGCACATTGTGTTTACTGCTCTCTACAGTGATAGTCAGCAGATTGTGTTGCGCTCCAGCAGCGAAACTTTGACAGCAAAAACCCAAGAGGAAGAAATACTTGTGTCTGTGCTCTTGAGCCAAAACTGTTTCCCCCCATAGCACTTGGCAACCGAACTCCCATACTGACTCACCAGATCCTTCCATTCTTGTAGGGCGGCCAGTGAGAATGAGCCCAAATCGGCCTGAGTGACAGGCACTAAGGATTAGGCTATATCTGTTTGACTGTAGTCAGAGCATGGAAAATACTGATCTGCACTGCCAGTCACTCGCACTGCCTGTTGAGATTGTATCGGCATTAGTAACTCTGTCAGATAGGGGCAGGTTTTCCTGCTTTGTCTGTGGTTGCTTTTGCCAAGAGTGAAATACATTTTAAGGGTGAAATGAGTTATGTGAAATTTAAGGTAAGCATTTTAGGATCTGTTTTAGTGAAGTTGTGGAACTAGGACCCTTTAAAAAAGTACTACTGTTTACCTTTAGTACAGTTGATATCCTTTCACGATATGTGCATATTTTATGTTAGGTGGCAAAAGGAATTATGGAGACATTGTTATATAAAATCTTCTGCAATTTATTTCACAAAGACTACATTTGAGTCAACCACTGTCTGCTGAGCTTTGATACATAACTGCTGCATGTGCACCGCACTGTTCTGACGATATTGTAAACAATTGAATTACAGCTGCTCTTCTGTGCTAAAGTTCTCTGTCAAACATACTTTTCTGCAATGTTTTGCATAGAAAAAAGTTTTCATGTTGGAGCTAAGGGTGGGTGATACAATCTCTAAATTATATTACGATGTTTCAAAGAAATTGCAGTGATGATATTTATGATACAAAATAAAAATACTGAACATTTTATCTAAAATTGTAACTTGCAGACAGCAGAATTTGTTGGTGCAAACAAAACAAAGGACATTTTCCATCCCTTTTTTTCCCAATGAACTACTGTCATTGATGACAGACTACCTAATTTGACCTGTGAATCTGTTGCCTCAAGATTCCAGCAGCAGCAGTACCAGTATTATAGAGATCAATAGTTGTGACACAGCCTATGCAAAATGTAATCACAAATGTTGTGTAGGTAGCATTTATTCCTGGAAACCTTAAGTAAAAGTAGAACATACTGCTTAACACTTAAGTATAACAATAACTTAACTGGTTTAATCTTGTAATTCTTTAGGAGCCTGCAAAAATATCTTCACATAATAATTAAACTGAAAAATACTTGGATGTTATGTCTTGGGTTGAGCTTTGTAATCCCACTTTTACCACTATTTGGATTGGCATCATGTCCTTGGCCGCTCGTTATGTAACCGTGTCAGTAATTGAGTGATTTCAAGCCACCATTTTGCTCTTCCTGTCATATGGAGCAAAACTAGCAAGCGCTCCAGTAATACGTAGTTGAGTGATTTGTTTACTTTTTGGTTGCAACTGATGACTGGTCACGTGCCTTCCTAGCTCGGTTGAACTTGACAGTTTTTTTTGGTTGGTTGTTTTTCTCCTCCCCACAAGTAGTAAAACAAGTTTCTTGGTTCCACCTTTATGTGTGAACAGTTTTCTTGCATATTTCGCATAGTGTTGTGCTTAGGGTTAAAGGTTGTTGATGTAGCTTAGTCTGTAGGTACTAAATTGTCAAGCCTGACACACTGGTCTGGCTGTCTAACATGTCTGGATTGTCTTGTTTTGCATGCTAGGGAATGTGCACGCAAGAAATTCCTATGCCATGGATATTAAAATATGACACTTTTATATCATGGAAAATGTATGCCACATTAACTTGGTGGGTATGATGTAAAATCCCTTAAGTTAAGTGAGAGCTCACCAATATATGAATTTACAGGAGAGAGTTACAGAAATGCTATGGAACCCTTTTAGTAAGAGATGACTTTAAGGTAAACTGGACCCACTGGTTGCAGTGGGGATATCTACACTTTACACTTACATGAGTTGCTCATACATGATTTTGTGCTTCTACTAATGCTTGAGGAAGTTTGGAAATGTGGTGACTTTCATGCAGTCTATGCACCACATTGCTTGGTGACTCTACTTTGTATCAGTGTTTAATCTAAGCATGCAGCCCACTTTTTATCAGAAATTTTTTAACGGCTCAATGGTTAAATGTGAATGCTCCAGTAGTTGGGTCTCTTGTGGGGGAAAAAAAGTGTTGCATTGAAACCTTTGTTGGAAACCTGTCCTGTAGACAGACAAACACACGTTATGAAACATTACAGTCATGTTGTCCAGTTTTTCTATTTTCTTACTTAACTCCAGTAAATCCAAGGAGAAACTATAATATATGAATGTTGCGTTAATTTCTCTCAAAGAAGCTTTATTGGATTGGTAAAAGTTTTACCAACAGAAATGATTTTCACTTTTTGGTGCTTGGTTAGTCACCAGTGCCTGACAGCATTTCACAAGTTGGTTCACTAAAGACATCTTTGAAGGACTGCTAGTTACCTTTTTTTTATGTGCTGCAGGGTGTTTCCTTATCATAGTGGTTGAAGTTGGTTATATATAATATAAACCTCAGCTATCTGATTCATAAATCCCTCCATTCACTGCTTTGTGTGTGTGTGCTGGCTCAGTTTAGTCTCTGACCATTATTTCAGAGGCTTATTACAAGCTTTCCTTTGTATTTTGTGGTCTCTTTATATTTGTGGTCATTACTCAGATTTCCTAATGCCAGTGGTGCATTCATTCTAAACAAATGACAGCAAGATTGGATTCAAAGGTAATCTGGGTTATGGATGGAAAACTATTGTCTCCATTGCCTGTTTTTTAAGGCCAGCATTTTGCTCTAAAGCCCTCTTTGTTTAAGGTTCATTACTAAGGCTCATACTTTTGTCTGAGTTCATATCAAGGCTTGTAGGAGTCTGCTCTGTCATTTCACTGTCTGTCATCATAGGCCTTGGCTAACGATGCAGACTGAAAGATGGTGCTTAAAAGCCACTTCCTAAGGACAAAAATGATGCACCACACACAAACTTGGGTGGAGATCCTTTTCTGTTACAATGGAAAGTGTAAAGCAGCCCAGTGCTTTGGTGGCCCAGAAGGAGGGAACTCTCAGCTGCAGTCACAATTGCCTTTTCCCATGGGGACTCAATAAATTAGGGCCATTTTATTTTCACCCTATGGCTCATCTGGTCTTTGCTACAGTGTACTCTTGTTTGCTTGGCTTGTTCACTGGCTGACGGAGAGAAACAGCCTAAAGAGCTGTGATGTAATTTCATTGTAAAGAGTATAACAATCTTTGGATGTTGGGGTCATCTAGTTTTCATCTAGTTTGTTTTCACCTGTCTGGTTCCCCTCCTCCTTGCACAAGGTTGTATTTGTCAATATGGTCTCCTGTCCTTAATACCCTCTATGTTTGCCACAGCTGCTGGCAACATGCGTGTCAGACAGCCAGACACAACACCAGCGAGGGTTAGAACTTGTGATGGCTGCATGCACAGTACTGGTTCTTGCCCATGTTTGCTTGTGCTGACCATGGTATAGTCCTGGTCCTGGTTGGCTGACTTTGCTGGGTCTTGTTGCCAGGCCAGGTTCTCCAGCTCCACCCCATCCCAGTTAGTAAATTTGTCAGCCTGGCTCTGGGTAATAGGAACACAGGGGGGCAGCTGCCACATGACATCAGTGTCTGTTGAATGTATTCAAACGTGAAGACTCGCCCTGACCAGACCCTTTTGTTTTCACACACAGTTACTCCAATGTTACTGTTTGTTTATATACTCAAACACTGCTCTTTAGGAATGATCAAAACTGCTGGGTGTTTGGTGTAATAGGTTATTGTTGTGCAATGACGTCTTCATTTCTTATGGGGGTTGGCAGCATGTTGGCCTGTGTTTCAGTGATGCATGCAGAATACCGATTACAGGATCGATATGATCTGAGCAGCTACTGAAATAAGGGCGGGATGGCAAATATATTAAATCTGCGATTTTAAATTTAATACTTCTTTGCAGTTTATTTTTACACAACAACAAATGTTCATCATGTTCTGGGCAGGATACCAGATATGTAAACTACTATATTAGTGGACAAATACAGCAGCTATTGTTGTTTTTTCTTTCAAGTGCCTTATATCACTATATCATAGCCCTGATGAACTTATAACACCTTCTTACTCATTGTTATAGTTGTATGAATCAAATAGATGACTACAACCTAGAGACAAAATGATTTTTGCTAGGTTTGGGACAAAAAGTTCAAAATAGGTTTTAAAGCTGCATTTCCCACTTCCCTGTGATACAAGTTTTTGGTCACATTTCTACATTATCAGATTTGATGCATGAGAACAAAAACTCCTAATTACTTCATAAGTTTCATCACCAAATGACAAGACGGTGAGAGGTTGTGTGAAGTCAGGGTGTGTGCTCAGGGAGGAGCAGAAACAAATTTAACATCACAAGAGAGGAGAGTAGAAAAGAAATGTTTTGCATTTTGATGCAATTTAGGAACCCCCAACCTGTGATGTTAAGTAAAATAATCAAGTCCTCATTATAATTAAAATTTCCCCAAGTCTGTGGGTTTTTTTTTTTGTTTTGGAATCAGTATTCAGGCACACATTTTTTTACAGTCAATATAGTAATAAATTAGTCATTTATATTGGTTATCTCCGCAAAAATTCTCTTATTCTTGACCATTGGAAAAGAAATTGGAAAAGAGAGCCTGCATCTGATGTTTTCTAAACTTACAGCTTTATACATGATAAGTCTATTGTGTCGATTGTTTATTAAGGAATTATTCTTTCCTTAAATTTTTATTGAATTTACATTCATCTCAAAGGCTCTGTACATATGTACCCTGCCTGCTTTTACAGTTCATCTTTTGCGCTTGGTACTTCATCATCCACTAAACCAGTTGCTAGAAGCTATCCACCATCCAGTTTTTGTGAATAGGAGATTGCTGACGAGTGGCTCCCTTTATCCTGTCAGTCAGTGCAGAGGCTAAGAACACAACACACACACACACAGCTCATGCCGTATTACTGGAGCTCAGACAGAGTTAAGAACAGATTTTACAGAACAGGGTCATTTCAATCATGTCCCTGTTCTGTTTTGAATTTGGACAGGTTTGCACATGCCTTTACACCCATTTTATTCCTGTGTCTGGTTTACCTTACAGTAAAAATGTAGTTTGTGCATGCCTCGAGAGAGCCGCTTTGTCTCATGCCCATATATGGCTGTGGTTTCTGTTTTTGAGAATGACTTCATATTCACAGCAACAGAATTGTTTCTGTAGGTCAACTGGTTTTTTTTGTGGGTTTCGGGGGGGGGGGGTTTTTGCTGCAGCACGTTGAATTAATGCTGGCAAAGTCCACAGTGTCACCTGAGAAGTCTCACTGAGGTCTTAGCTTATCAAGGATCTGTTTCCCTGATACGCTCCTGAGGAAATGCTTTGTAATTTGCAATTACAAAAGTTCATGTTTGCTACAAGTTAACTAATAGTGGTATAGAACAAATATTACATGGAAAGCACTGGGCTTTGTCACATTACTGTAGCCTGTAGATGAGGCAGTCAGAGCTGTGGCTACTTTTTCATGTAGTATTTTGTATGTTATCTTAACCAGCTTTTGTTTGTCTTCAGTCCATGTATAGTTTGATGTAGTGTTAACCTCACATACTGCTTCTTCCCCCTCAAACACTCTCTCCATTGCAGACCATATTCCAGAGGACTTAAGGGACCCGTTCTATACAGACCAGTATGACCAGGAACACATCAAGCCACCTGTCATTCGTCTGCTGCTGTCCTGTGAGCTTTACTGCCGTGTGTGTGCCCTCATCCTCAAAACTGAGCAGGCAGCGTCTCTTCAGTCCCACATGTCTGTCATCCAAGCTCTATCCAGGAAGGGCATTTATGTGGTGGAGAGTGATGACACACCCGTTACAGAGGGGGACCTGGCCTGTATGCCGATCAAAATGGTGAGTCCAAAATCCTCTCAAATTTTGCAGTATTTTGTGGCAATAACACCTAGTATTGTCACCTGCCTGTCTAGTGAGTCTCCTGTCCAGTCGATAGACAGTTAGTAGTACTTGTTCTGCTTTGACACATGGTAAACTGGTGTAGCAGTACATAAGGAAGGCCTCCACCTGCTGCATGTTCTTGTTAGATTGGCCCTCCACCTTGTGGTAGATCTCCAAAGCCTAAAGTAAACTATCTTCTCTCCTGAAAGCCAGTAAGGAAACACGAAATCGGAAGGGCAGGGGCTAGCAAGTTAGTGATGAATGAATTTGTGGAAAAATAAGTTTGGGAGCTGATTTGTTATTTTCACATGTAGCTGCTGCTTGGGTTTGAAATTAAAACGTACTATAATACTGGTATGTTAATGCTTTTATTGATCAGCTGACACATGCAGTCTCATATAGGCTGTGAAACTGTAATAGCAATTACAAAGTGTATCTCAGCAGCACAGATTGTCTATCAGGGGATGAGCTCTTCCTGCTTCAGATGCATTATCTTTCTTCAGTGAAGTCAGTGAAAGTTAGTAGTCCGTTTATTATTATCCAGCAATACCAGCAAACCTAAAAACATCTGTCAGTGCACTTAAAACCAAAAACATTTGCAGATTCTTTACATTATCCACTTTGTAAAGAGTTTTAAGCATGCTTTGCTTAAGTACAGTGTCCAGAATATTTGAATATTTCCTGCATCATATCTATTCAAATGGATAAGTGACATTTGACTGCTGGCATGCAAGGTGTGTATGGGGTTACCGTGAAAGGTGTGGGTGTGATTTTATTATTTTTTTTCTCCCCCCCTTCATTGTGCAAAGGTGTTGTTGTCCTTAATCTGTCTTGAAAGAGTTTAGCCACAGTTAATTTAATTAACACAAACACTTATTTCATACTATATGCTTTTGTAATGAGTCTTTTTCCACTACTTACAGGTTACTCATATCTTTACTAACAGTTTGCTCTTTTTACACAAGTTAAAAGATAAACATCATTGTGATGTTAAAAGATGATACCACAGTATCAGATAAACCACCGTGTGTTTTTTATGTAAATACAACAGGAGGCAGAGGTTAGTTGTCAGTAATTATTATTACTGATGAGCTTACTCTTTTCTACTGGTTGTTATTGATAACACTGTAGATATTTTGGTTACTAAATCTGAAAGAAGTTGGTTATTTTAGAATTATCCAAAAGCAGAGTTGGGCATAATCAAATTAATAATTTGGCCAAATCCCGCACCAGTGCAACAGTGTCAGACACTGCAATTTTAATCACAGTTTAATTGGCACTCCTGCACAGTGTAATCCTGCAACTCTTTGGTCATTGAATTGGCCACTAGTTTAACACAAAGGTCCCCATTCACTTCTTAACTGACAATACATATAAATATGTTTATTTAAATAACATGGCTACAACTTGTGTTGATAAAAGCAGAGTGAAGCAGCACCAGTTTAAACATTTTCAAATATGAAATTCCACCATCGGTATAAATGAATAATTTGCACTGGTTACATTGTTTTGTTTTTTAATTTTATTTGAATCATTCTAAAGTATACCTGGAAATATAGAAGTTAGAGATAATTCTGGTCTTCGAAACAGAAATTGACATTAGGTAATCTTTGTCAATAACCAACACTAACTGATGCAGTTATCTCATATTCAGTAAATTTGTGGCCTTGTGTATGTTCAGTGTCGAGGTTAAAAATCAGCTTTGATTAACGTATTTTTAATGCGCTACTTTTTTAGTGGCCTCTAAACACTTTATATATTCTCTGAGGAAGAAATGCATTCCTTACATGCAAACTTTTGAGGTAGGCCTTTCTAATACCTCTGGATGAAGCATGCTGTAAAATTTGTAATGTATTTGTTTGCTGAGAGGTCATTTGACTCTTACTCCATACACAAATCCTAAATTAGAAAGCCTGGGTTAACAGGTAAAGTCAATGACCTCTACTGCGATACTCGTTATCTAGGAAAGCAGTTTTAGGTTTTGGTGATCCAGCTAACACAAAAAAGCCTGGCTATGGTGAATTTGATTTGTAGTACATCCCTTTGACACATATTTTAACAAGTAAACTTTAATTAAATGTACATAAATCAAACATAATGTGTGATAGCTCAAGTTGACGTGAGCAACTAAGGAGTAAGAGAGATGCACTATGATTTTTTTTTTTTTTTTTTATTCATTTTTTGCATTTGAATGGCGGTCCCTGTTCTCAGTGTCTAACATAAAGTGTTATTGGTCAGTTTTCCAATCACTGCTGCAATCATATGCAAAAGCAACATACTTTTAAAATGACTCTCCCCTCTCCTTGGCTGGATCATTAAAAAATAGAAATCCTGCTAAATAAACTGATCTCTGTGCTCCCTCAGAGTAGGGGGCATTAGCATTAAGAGGTTTGCTCTTGTGTTAATACCTTGTTGAAATGAATTTATTGTGTCTGGTATTTTTCTCACCTTCATTTTCATCCATCTGTTGGAAAAGCTCCCTAAACGCTCAGTTTAAATGCTTATCCAGCCTAGCTGTCCTCCCTTTCTCAAGCTTTCTACTTAGCAAAATGGTAAAGATGTTGGTGACTGGGTACTTGCCCTGTTGACCCATTTAGTTGTCTTGAGGCAAGTGTAATCCTTGTAAAATTTTCACAGATCACCTCATAATGAGGTTAAATGCCTTCTGCATTTATTCCACATCTGCACAGCTTGAGTCACCATGGCAGATCCTTGTGAATGAATGCAGAACCCTTGGTGATGAAATACGATGTATCACACTTTAACTAAGAGCACTTCACACAGGATAGGATGAACACCAACAGCCTCATTTGCTCTTAGACATCTCCCTACTTCCTACCCCTTTGTTACCATGAAACCAGCAGTGGTGTAGAGCAGGCCCTTTCC